CGATGCCCACGTGAGACTCCAGCGCGCAGTCCACCGTCAGAAGGGGGGGGGGGGGAGTGGTACTGTCACGTCTACCTCCGCTCCCCCTCTCCGGCGCTCGACATCGCCAGTTTTACTGATCACTGGCTCTGACAACTATCTTTACACGCACCTGCGCCTCATCATGAGACTCACCTGGACTCCAACACTTCACTGATTACTTCCCCTATATCTGTCACTCCCTTAGGTTCATTCCCCAGCCAGTATTGTTTCTGTGTTTCATGTCCAGACGGTACTCCTGTTTTGTATCATTCCATGTTCTTTGTTATATTAAACTTACCACCTGCACCTGCTTCTTGACTCCCAGCTCATCGTTACAGACTAATACAACAGGTGTATACCTTACCGTGAAATGCTTACTTACAAGCACTTAACCAACAACGCAGTTTGAAGAAATTAAGAGTCAAGAAAATGTTTACTAAATAAATTAAAGTGAAGAAAAAAAGGAACACAATAAAATAACAATAACGACGTTATATACAGGGGTACCGGTACCGAGTCAATGTGCGGGGGTACAAGTTAGTTGAGGTAATATGTACATGTAGGTAGGGGTAAAGTGACTATGCATAGATAATAAACAATGAGTAGCAGCAGTGTAAAAAAAATTAAAGGGGGGTGGTCAATGCAAATGTTCCAGGTAGCCATTTTATTAATTGTTCAGCAGTCTTATGGCTTGGGGGTAGAAGCTGTTAAGGAGCCTTTAGGACCTAGACTTGGCGCTCTGGTACCGCTTGCCATGCGGTAGCAGAGAGAACAGTCTATGACTTGGGTGGCTGGAGTCTTTGATAATTTTTTGGGCCTTCCTCTGACACCGCCTAATATAGAGGTCCTGGATGGCAGGAAGCTTGGCCCCAGTGATGTACTGGGCCGTACGCACTACCCTCTGTAGCGCCTTACGGACCAATGCCGAGCAGTTGCCATACAGGCGGTGATGCAACCGGTCAGGATGCTCTCGATGGTGCAGCTGTAGAACTTTTTGAGGATCTGGGGACCCATGCCAAGTCTGTTCAGTCTCCTGAGGGTGAAAACGCGTTGTTGTGCCGTCTTCATGACTGTCTTGGTGTGTTTGGACCATGATAGTTTGTTGGTGATGTGGACACCAACGAACTTGAAGCTCTCGACCCGCTCCACTACAGCCCTGTCAATGTGAATGGGGGCGTGTTCGGCCCTCCTTTTCCTGTAGTCCACGATCAGCTCCTTTGTCTTGCTCACGTTGAGGGAGAGGTTGTTGTCCTGGCACCACTCTGCCAGGTCTCTGTCCTCCTCCTTATAGGCTGTCTCATCATTGTCGGTGATCAGACCTACCACCGCTGTTGTCAGCAAACTTAATGATGGTGTTGGAGTTGTACTTGGCCACGCAGTCGTGGGAGAACAGGGAGTACAGGAGGGGACTAAGCACGCACACCTGAGGTGCCCCTGTGTTGAGGATCAGCGTGGCAGATGTGTTGTTGCCTACCCTTACCACCTGGGGGCGGCACATCAAGAAGTCCAGGATCCAGTTTCAGAGGGAGGTGTTTAGTTCCAGGGTCCTTAGCTTAGTGATGAGCTTTGTGGGCACTATGGTGTTGAACGCTGAGCTGTAGTCAATGAACAGCATTCTCACATAGGTGTTCCTTTTGTCCAGGTTTGGAAAGGGCAGTGTGGAGTGCAATTGAGATTGCGTCATCTGTGGATCTATTGGGGCGGTATGTGAATTGGAGTGGGTCTAGGGTTTCCGGGAAGATAGTGTTGATGTGAGCCATGACCAGCCTTTCAAAGTGCTTCATGGCTACAGATGTGAGTGCTAAGGGGTGGTAATCATTTAGGCAGGTTACCTTGGCGTTCTTGGGCACAGGGACTCCTCAATGCTTTTGAGCTAATATTCTATGGGAGGTGCAGGAACTCAAGCAGAATAACATTTTAGGTGCCGGTAAACAGTTCCAGTGAGCTGCTGCCCAAGTAAAGTACTGTGTTTAGGTAAAAAGACTTGGAACACTGTCAAGTAGAGCAAAAAAATACAAATCTGATTGGGTGGGCCTGGCTCCCCAGTGGATGGCCCACCTGTGCCTGTGCCCCTGTAAATACTAATACTTATTACTATTAATATTCCTGTAATAATCCACCAATTTCTCTGTTCCTCTTTCATTATCCTGCTTATTATCTCAACTATAGCTCCTCTATCTCTCCCTCACCTTATTTTGGCTCACAGATGCTCAACATTCGATGGTTGGCATTTGGCAATCTATTCCCATACCTCCAGATTAGCTGGATGTTGATGCTTTGCAGATGTTAAGAGGAGGATCTAGGAGGATGAAGTGCAATTATATAAATATTTGGGGGTAGCAGAGTGCATGACTGTGAGGTTTAAATCACTGGCATTTGGGAGACACTGGGGTAGGTTCGAATCAAATCAAATCAAATCAAATGTATTGGTCACATACACATGGATAGCAGATGTTATTGTGAGTGTAGTGAAATGCTTGTGCTTCTAGTTCCGACAGTGCAGCAATATCTAGCAAGTAATATCTAACAGTCCTACAACAAAAACCTAATACACACAAATCTAAGTAAAGGAATGGAATAAGAATATATAAATATATGGATGAGCAATGTCATTATCATTATCAGAGTGGCATAGTCTAAAATGCAATAGATAGTATAGAATACAGTATATACATATGAGATGGGTAATGCAAGATATGTAAACATTAAAGTGGCATTATTAAAGTGACTAGTGTTCCATTTATTAAAGTGGCCAGTGATTTTCAAGTCTGTATGTAGGCCTCTCTGTGCTAGTAATGGCTGTTTAACCTCTATGGGATCTGTGTCCCATATACGGGACGGTTGAGCTAACGTTGCGCTAATGTGATTAGCATGACTGTTGTAAGTAACAGCAAACTCTCCAGGACATAGACATGTCTAATATGGGCAGAAAGCTTAAATTCCTGTTAATCTAACTGCACTGTCCAATTTACAGTAGCTATTACAGTGAAAAAAGACCATGCTATTGTTTGAGGAGAGTGCACAACAACAAAAAACGTATCACGGCAACTGGTTTGATACATTCACCTCTGAAGGTAAATAATGCACTTACATTCAGTAATCTTGCTCTGATTTGTCATCCTAAGGGTCCCAGAGATAAAATGTAGCATAGTTTTGTTTGATTAAATCAATTTTTATATTCAAATGTAGGAACTGTGTTCTACAGTTTGAACCCCTGCTGTCTCTGGCTCCACACCCACCCCGCCCGGCCTCTAGATGTGTTAAAGTTAGTGTATAAGCTAATGATCCATAATGTATGACATTCCTGGGAGTGTGTAAACTTACATTTTGTATTACCATATCATTTTTGTATGTTCTCTATAGTTATGTACTTGAAAATGTATCAATTGACCAATTCGGCACATTAGGGCAGACTTGCAATGTCCAGTATTGCAATGCTTCGCTGGATCAATCTGAAACTTTGCACACACACTGCTGCCATCTAGTGGCCAAAATCTACATTGCGCCTAAAATGCAATATTATATTGTGGCCTTTCTCTTGCATTTCAAAGATGGTATTATCTTTTACCAGATCTAATGTGTTATATTCTCCTACATTAATTTCACATTTCCACAAACTTCAAAGTTTCCTTTCAAATGGTATCAAGAATATGCATATCCTTGCTTCAGGTCCTGAGCTACAGGCAGTTAGATTTGGGTATGTCATTTGAGGCGAAAATTTAAAAAAAGGGTCAGATCCTTAAGAGGTTAACAGTCTGATGGCCTTGAGATAGAAGCTGTTTTTCATTATCTCGGTCCCAGCTTTGATGCACCTGTACTGTTAATACAGGTAATGAGTGGAGAACAGGAGGGCTTCTTAAAGAAAAACTAACAGGTCTGTGAGAGCCGGAATTCTTACTGGTTGGTAGGTGATCAAATACTTATGTCATGCAATAAAATGCAAATTAATTACTTAAAAATCACACAATGTGATTTTCTGGATTTTTGTTTTAGATTCCGTCTCTCACAGTTGAAGTGTACCTATCATACAAATTACAGACCTCTACATGCTTTGTAAGTAGAAAAACCTGCAAAATCGGCAGTGTATCAAATACTTGTTCTCCCCACTGTAAGTGAATTTGTCCCAATACTTTTGGTCCCCTAAAATGGGAGGACTATGTACAAAAAGTGCTGTAATTTCTAAATAGTTCACCCGATATGGATAAAAAATAACCCTCAAATTAAAGCTGACAGTCTGCACTTTAACCTCATAGTCATTGTATCATTTCACATCCAAAGTGCTGGAGTACAAGACAAAACAACAAAAAATGTGTTACTGTCCCAATACTTTTGAAGCTCACATGTATTTCTAAATCTAATCCTGCTGCCATCACAATCTCAATGCAATTCCATGGAACATTGTTGATGCATACACTGATTGTGAGCTACAAGCTTTTTATTTTTATCTGGGGGAAAAATCATGATTAGAAACTGTTGGTTGTATTATCCACACCCCGCCCTCCCCTGGCTCCAGTTTGTAGGTTACTGAAAGATTTCAGCGACCACACATAAGAAGATTACAGAGGAATTAACGTCATTCCTTTGTCATTATATGAATAAATTGATATTTGATTTTAATCAGAGGGAGTGGAGAGAGGAGAGCAGGAACAACAGCATGTGCCCTGAGTAGCATAGAAACACAAGTCAGAGGGACTGGCACTAGGGCACAGGCAGGCGAAAACACAAGCTGGGGGCACATTTTGTGGCACTGGAGCTGATCGTTGGATGCTTGGATCAACGTGCAGCATGTAACAGAGGGTTGGATAACAAAGATCTTTCAGAGCTCTGCGTGTGTGGTGAGGTGTATATGGTTGCTGCTGGGATATGGATGGGTCACCGGACAGGGACAGTCGTGGCGTCCCACTGACCTGCTGGAGGATTTCTGGGAGATAGACTCAAGACGCAGTGGGAGCACCTCCTGGTTGCTCCTGCTCTTCCAGCCCCAGACATGAACCTGGTGCTCCTGGCCTTCAGGCTGATGTGCCTGGCCTGGCTGTGGCCTGTCACGCTGCTCAACGGCAGCCACCAACCCAACAAGAGGAGGCACAAGGACGTGTACCTTGGGGAGAACAGCAAGAACCAACATGGAGGGTGAGCCAGAGTCTGAGGGTGCGGCCCCACTGGAGTTGTTGTTTCATGTTCTTGTCAAGGGTTCTGTTTGCTTATCTGTTCTGTTTGGTTTGAAGCCGGTTTGTGTATAGTTCTGGTAGAAAGGTTACATTTGGTACACACACCACAGGATGTTACTGTTCTGTTGATCTGTTGTCTGATTGATATGGTTAAAAGGTTATTTTTTGGGGAGATGTATTGTTCATCACAGAACGCTATTCATGGATTGAATGTATCAATCTAATCTCTATGAATTTTTTAAAATATTGATGGTGAATTTACCATGGTAGCATGAATTATCTCCAATGTGTGCTGGGACAGATGTCATTACTGCAGTGCATTGTGGATAAAGGCCAGGGCAGGTGAGGTTACCACAGGGGCTTAGAGGTAATGTCTGGGAAGCTGTGTTTTGGTGGTGACATATTGTAAGAGAAAAGCAGTAGTTTGTGGGTAATGATAGGGGGAGTTTTGTTAATAAGGGGGATGACTGTACGCTTGAATATCATTTCTAATAATAGGGGAGTTGATTGTTTTTGGGTGGTATGGGAATGATTTGTTAGAGCAGACATGTTTATGTATTTTGAAAATGAAAATATAAGTTTACTGAAGTTTATCGTATGATGCTATTTAGAAACATTGCAAGTGATGATGCAGGATGTGTTGTCAACCAAATTGGAGTTATTCATTATGTCCTTTGACCCAGACTAACTCTGGGAAGTCTATATAATCCCCCAGGACCAATTATTGAACCATAATAGCACTGATTCGGTTTGCTGCTGAATCATTAGTGAAGAGCTCTCACATCATGTATACTCTTACTTTGAATCAGATGGTTAAAGTGCAATTAATTATTCTAAACAGCAAACACCCCAGAGCAGATGTTGCTTCCTTAAGTGTGTGTGTGTGTTTGTGTGTGTGTGTGTGTGTGTGTGTGTGTGTGTGTGTGTGTGTGTGTGCCAGTGCGCGTGCCAGTTGGTGTGTGTGTGTATTTCTTAGGAAATAAAACATCCGATATGCTGATCTGTGTCCTCTTTTCTCCTCAGACGAATAGACTTTAAGATGAAAAAGTCCGACAGCACCAAGTCCCTGCTAATTAAATCTGAACAGCTGCTCCGTATCGAGGACCATGACTTTGCAATGCGGCCTGGCTTTGGAGGTAAGACCACCCACCCAATATCCTTTAGCCTGGTGGGTTGAACTACGATAATGTGCAGTTTGGATGTGACTGTGTGTGTGTGTGCTTTTTCCCACCACGTCAAATCATAATCAATTTTGATTTGTCACATATGCGTGTTTAGCAGATGTTATTGCGGGTGTAGCGAAATGCTTGTGCTTCTAGCTTCGACAGTCCAGTAATGTCTAACAAGTAATATCTAACAATTTCACAACAAATACCCTATACACAAAAATCTAGTAAGGAATGGAATTTAAGAATATATACATATATACATATATGGACAAGCAATGAAAGAGCGGCATGGACTAAGATACAGTAGAATATTATAGAATACAGTATATACATATGAGATGAGTACATTTACATTTACATTTACGTCATTTAGCAGACGCTCTTATCCAGAGCGACTTACAGTTGTGAATACCTTTTTTTTTGTGTTTTTTTTGTTTCTTTTTTTGTTTCTTTTTTATACTGGCCCTCCATGGGAAACATTAAACATTATTAAAGTGACTAGTGTTCCATTTCTTAAAGTGGCCAGTGATTTCAATAGACAGCAGCAGCCTCTAATGTGCTAGTGATGGCTATTTAACAGTCTGATGGCTTTGAGATAGAAGCTGTTTTTCATTCTCTCGGTCCCAGCTTTGATGCATCTGTACTGACCTCACCTTCTGGATGATAGCAGGGTGAACAGGCAGTGGCTCGGGTGGTTGATGTCCTTGATGATCTTTTTGGCCTTCCTGTGACATTGGGTGCTGTAGGTGTCCTGGAGGGCGGGTAGTTTGCCCCCGGTAATGTGTTCGGCGGACAGCACCACCCTCTGGAGAGCCCTGCGGTTTCGGCCGGTGCAGTTGCCGTACCAGGCGGTGATACAGCCCAACAGGATGCTCTCAATTGTGCATCTGTAAAAGTTTGTGAGGGTTTTAGGTGCCAAGCCAAGCCACATTTCTTCAGCCTCCTGAGGTTGAAGAGGCTCTGTTGCGCCTTCTTCACCATACTATCCACGTAGGTGGACCATTTCAGTTTGTCAGTGATGTGTACGCCAAGGAACTTGAAGCTTTCCACCTTCTCCACTGCGGTCCTGTCGATGTGGATAGGGGGGTGCACCCTCTGCTGTTTCCTGAAGTCCACGATCATCTCCTTTGTTTTTTTTATGTTGAGTGAGTGGTTATTTTCCTGGCACCACACTCCCAGAGCCCTCACCTCCTCCCTGTAGGCTGTCTCATCATTGTTGGTAATCAAGTCTACTACTGTTGTGTCATCTGCAAACTTGATGATTGAGATGGAGGCGTGCTTGGCCACGCAGTCATTGGTGAACAGGGAGTACAGGAGGGGGCTGAGCACGCACCCTTGTGGGGCCCCAGTGTTGAGGATCAGTGAAGTGGAGATGTTGTTTCCTACATTCACCACCTGTGGGCGACCCGTCAGGAAGTCCAGGACCAAGATGCACAAGGCGGGGTTCATGTCTCTATACTGATGTTTTGCCAGTTTAATTGCCTTGCGGAGTGAGTAGCTACAGTGTTTGTATTCTGCCATATTCCTAGTCACCTTGCCATGGTTAAATGCGATAGTTTGCGCTTTCAATTTTGCGCGAATGCTGCCATCTATTCACGGTTTCTGGGTTGGACTCATTAATTAAGCCTGAATGGGGAAAATCAAGGGTCATTTGAGAGAGGGAAGAGGGAAGAGCAAGAGAGGAAGGGGGGTAATAGAGCTTTACTTACAGTAATTTGTTACAGATGTAGAATTATAGATAGTCCATGACGTGCCACAGAGTTTAGGTTTTGTAAGAGGCAGCATTGACGCTAGCTTGTATGCTCTCTCCTGGAGCAGAATATAGGTTATAGTGTCATCTTTGATAACACCCCATCCCCAGAAAAGCTCACTGACCCAGATTGTCTGCAGAGCCTAGCAGACAATGACAGCCTGCGGCCGAGTACACAGATGTGTTTTTAGAACTATTGTAATCTGGATTATAGGCCACGCTTTCTGAAACAATACCAAATGTTGCATCTTACTGGAAAGTCCAGGGCAGCAAAGAGTTCCATGCATACAGTACAACAGCAGTATGTTCACTAGGTGATGATCAGACAGTATTATATTTAAGCAATAAGGCCCGAGGGGTTGTGGTATATGGCCAATATACCACGGCTAAGGGCTGTTCTTAAGCACGATGCAACGCGGAGTGCCTGGATTTTGTATTTGTATGTATTAAGGATCCCCATTAGCTGCTGCCAAGGCAAGCATCTACTCTTCCTGGGGTCCAGCAACATTAAGGCAATTATATACAATTCAAAATATTACGTGACATTCCATTTCATTACACTTTTCACAACACATTAAGTGTGTGCCCTCAGGTCACTACTCTACTGGATACAGCCCTTAGCCGTGGTATATTGGCAATATACCACAAACCCCCGAGGTGCCTTATTGCTATTATAAACTGGTTACCAACATAATTAGAGCAGTAAAAATAAATGTTTTGTCATACCCGTGGTATACAGTCTGATATACCATGGCTTTCAGCCAATCAGCATTCAGGGCTCAAACCACCCAGTTTATAATGAACTATTGATCATGTTTATGAATGCTTGCATGTGTGTCAGTGTGTGGGGTCCCACTGTAAATCAACTGTCACTGAAACATGTACTTACATAACATTTATATTGTAGGCAGTACTAATGGCAGTTTAGGTACATATTTGTAAATGTAGTGTGAGGGCATGTTATGGATTTATGTCCATTTGTGTTTCCATTTGGATGTTTTCTATTCCGAACTATCTCTGTGTTTGTGTCTGTGTGGTCTAAGCGAGGTGGGGTTGATGGAGGAAGGTAATCCCTGTAATGTTGAAATGAAATTGGGCAGGTCACATTATCAGGAAAACCTCCTGACCATGGCTGTGATTATAGATGGATGTAACTTGATTATAGATTAATGCAATAGGTATAATATGATTAGGATTTATGAAGGAAAGGCTATAAGGAGAGAAAATCAATTTTTGAGTTTGGTGACAGAGCATCTCTTGCGTCCCTGAGAGATGAGAATGCTGTGTCTGTGGGGAGGGGAGGTGTGGGATTACTGGTGTGTCTTTGGGGTTATGTGGGGCCCATTAGCTTGCAGCTGTGTTTAGCATGAAGAGTGATGTCATGACCCTGTATCTACATGGAAATGGACAGGATAATCACAACATAGGGCTTAGCTGATGATGTCCTGCAACACCACAGCCTCCAGTGGGACCACAGGTTTTCAGTATATCTGTTGAGACCCAGCATAGCGCCAAAATCCTCTGTGACACCATTGTTTGGGTTTTCTCTTATTCACAAATATTGTCCCAACTTTATAGTGTTTGGGTTGATTTACAAATATTTAGGTCTTGAAGAGGAAATTTAAATTTAAAAAAACAGTATAGGTAAAATGATATATGTGTGATAGGTCAAAGGCAAATCAAAACCAGTGAGGCTGGTTTCAGGCTGAGTCAGACATTCTAAGGCCTTGCGTCAGGACTACCATATGATTACCACACAGCCACACAGCCTAACATTCAATGTGCTTGCCCTGTCAGGATAGACGTATGAAATCTCAAGCTGTTTACTTCATCCCTGTAGGGGCAGCTATTCCTGTGGGCATAGACGTGCAGGTGGAGAGCATTGACAGTATATCTGAAGTCAACATGGTAAGTGTCGATAAGTATCTTTAGCTGTGTGTGTATGTGACTAACACACCGCCACTCACGCTCATTCTCACACACAGTGAGACAACCTCTCATACTCTCCCTCATTCTAAAGTGGTGGAACTCTGTTCCACTCTATTGCCCCCAATTAAATGTCGGGGAATAACAGTCAAAACATATATTGATTTAAAGCTAGAATCCTTAGTTGCTCTATACATTTTTTTTATACCTGTTAATTCTTGAAGAATATAACTTATAAATGCCTCATAAGTTCAGTCATACTGTCATACCCCATCAGAACCTAAAATAATAGATTGTTTTACTCCAAGGTTTGTAAACAATGTAAATGTAAACAAACACTAATATAGTGTCAAAACGTGTTTAAAACTATAATTCAGATATCATGGATGGTCATTCCTTGTATACATAGCTCAGTCTATGAATTTAAGAGTGGTCACAATCTCCAGGCCCATCCCTCAGTTTTTTCCAAAACAGGGCTGGGATGACCACTTTACTGTTATGCTATTGTTTCCACTAAGTTCTGGACTCTAACTTTAATGGATCATTGATGTTCTGGTCACAATAAACATTACCACTGTAAACACTATTAACCTGCATGACCCTGTCGCTCGTAACCCTATATACAAATAATCCACGTGAACCATTATTGAGATATAAGTCTTACTGCCATCATTGCGCAATTACCCACATTTTGATTATGTGATAGTTTGTCCATTGGACCTGAGCGTTGGTTTGTGTTGGTGTGTTTGTATAGGACTTCACCATGACTCTGTACCTGAGACACTATTGGCAGGACGACCGGCTGGCCTTCCCTTCCAGCAGCAACAGGAGCCGGACATTTGACGCTCGGCTGGTAAAGAAGATCTGGGTGCCGGATGTGTTCTTTGTCCACTCCAAGCGTTCCTTCATCCATGACACGACCATGGAAAACATCATGTTGAGGGTGTACCCTGATGGCAACATTCTCTACAGTGTCAGGTACAATGAGAATGTCCTCCTTTAACACAGGGACCATAAGGCCTTTAGCCTGTAGTGTACTACTCGATAGTATTGGTGCTCTGTACACATAAGAAACATGGGGGAGTAGTCCATCTTGTGTCTTTCAGCCTAAAATATCCACAAAAAAAGAGGAAGTGCATCACCTATCAAAGAGAGTTCTGATCTCTCTGCCGACCACATTATCTTACCACGGACTGTTTTCTGAAACTGCTGTGTTATTGACTATGCACTGTGTTTCAGGATCACTGTGACTGCTCTTTGCGCCATGGACTTCAGTAGTTTTCCTTTGGACACACAGAAATGCTCTCTGGAACTGGAGAGCTGTGAGTATAAAACAATAAGGCTATATGGTTGCCCTGGGTGTGAAAGGAGCAGCAGCTACAGTCAAATTGAAGTCAGTAATTTCTCATCAGAGACATTCTACCACACTGATGTTGCAATTGTCATGATTGTGTTAAACCCAACCTCAGGAGGCAGTGCACCTTACCCAGATTAGAACACAGACACACAGACGAACAGACACACAGACAGACACACACAAATGATCGCCGCACGCACACACATACGCACGCACGCAGATACGCACACACAGAAAGCATGGGCCTGGTCTCAGACGAGAGGTGGAATTAGTGAATCTCAGTGTCTCCTCTCCTCTGAGGGACATAGCCCATGATTCTTCTAAGAGAGGCCACATGAAGGAGTCACCTTCTCCCCCTGTTCTCTCCTCTCTTGAAGACGCGTACAATGAGAATGACCTCATGCTCTACTGGAAGAACGGGAACGATTCATTAAGGACTGACGAGATCGTTCTCTCACAGTTTTTTATTGAAGAATTCCACCCTTCCTACGGGCTTGCCTTCTACAGCAGCACGGGTATGTGTGGTTGTGTTGCACCCTGTTGCATAGGGGCCCACAGTGCTGTTCCTCTGTCCTACTCCTCTGCTACTCAGCTTATTATTACGTAAAACTGATCTGTAAGAGCCAAAGCCATTATCCCAAAGCCTCCTCCTTCTGATTCCACTCTGCCAGTCTGAGGAGAGGGAGAGTTTAGGAGACTTTCCTCCACAGAGTGTCAGTGTGGAATCCTGCTCAACTTTCAGTAGTTCTAGTGTCCATTACATCATAGCCATGTGATGTCCCATGTGACTATTATTTTGACTAGATGCCCTCCTGTGTTTCATAATGAGCTCTGATTACCCAGAAGGATGGTGAGTAAACTGTTCCACCAAAAAAGAGAGTTCAGAGCCCTTTTTTATTTTTTCATTTTCTCTCTCTCTCTCTCTCTCTCTCTCTCTCTCTCTCTCTCTCTCTCTCTCTCTCTCTCTCTCTCTCTCTCTCTCTCTCTCTCTCTCTCTCTCTCTCTCTCTCTCTCAGGTTGGTATAACAGGCTCTACATAAACTTCATCCTCAGGAGGCACATCTTCTTCTTCATGCTGCAGACCTATTTCCCCACCATGCTGATGGTGATGCTCTCCTGGGTGTCCTTCTGGATTGACAGGAGGGCTGTGCCAGCCCGAGTCTCACTGGGTACAGTACTGATACTCTCACTAGTATGTGGGGAATCTCCAGAAAATAATCTAAGCTTAAAGACTGAGCAGAGACGGCTCTCAAAGCCATCATTTTTTGTACAGCATACTTGATTCATCTCCATAAAGTAAAGTGGGTGGTGGTGCTTTACATTACTCTTCCATGTCACATCTCTGCGATTACTGTAAGGTGAAGGGGGGAAGGTTGTGCAACAATTTCCTGTTGTGTTCCTTTTATGTGGGCGAGTGAACGCGAGCCTGCTGCTTTGACAGTCAGAGTAGAACTGCTCAGAGACTCATTAACCCAGAGAGAGAGAGAGCAGTTGGGGTGGACACGTCATGCACCTCCCATCAAAGGACAACTGAAACTGAGCACAGTGACAAAGCATTTCAGTTCTGCGCATGACTAAAGTCGCCTGTACGAGGCGATGTCCCTTTTTGTGTGTGTGTGTGTGTGTGTGTGTGTGTGTGTGTCAGAGCATATTTGTGTAGGAGAGAAAGAGAAAAAGGGAGGGAGAGGGAAGAGCAAGAGAGAGCAATAAACTCTGCACTCAGATTTGTGAATAGATATTGACTTTGCTAATGCAACAGTGTGTGTGGGGGGGTGTGCTGGGAGCATGGCAGGTCTTTAGAGAATCATGATGCCGTAACAAAGTCTGGCCTCATTTCACTCTGCAACTCCCCACATGAAAGAATACTACAGTTTACTATGGAATACTACAGTACTTACTATATAATTCTGTAGTAAACTGTAGTATACTGTAAAATACTATACTACACACTGTAGTATCCTTCGATCACATGTAGTACTTACTATAGAATGTTGTAGTAGAATACTATTGTAAATACTACAGTATTATTCCTCCCCCCCAAAAAACACTGTACTAAATTACAGTAATGTCCGCAAAAACACAACACTTCCTTAACTAAAGTAAATACTACAGTATTGAATTTGCATATACCCTGCCCATTCCCCTCCCCGATATCTCAATTTGTGCCACCCATAAGTACATGCCAAGTATAGACCATAGATTGTGTTCCATACACGTTATAGAAAAGAGCAGAAGCTGATCTATCCGTTCAGACCGCAGACCTACCTACAGGTTATGGAAAATGGGCTCTTTTAGTATTTCTCCAGTAGGTTTCCTCAAGGAGAAAGCCCACACTTCTTTGGCAAAGATAATAAATCAAATCAAATTGTATTTGTCACATGCGCCGAATACAACAGGTGTAGACTTTACAGTGAAATGCTTACTTACAAGCCTTTAACCAACAATACAGTTTTAAGAAAGAATACCTAAAATGAAAAGAAACAAAAGTAACAAATAATTAAAGAGCTGTCACGATCGTTTATGGAAGATACGGACCAAGGCGCAGCGTGATAAGCGTACATTTTATTAAGTACTTAACTCCTGACAAAACAACAAACAAACGAAACGTGAAGTCCTAGGTTACACAACACAAACCTTAACGGAACAAGATCCCACACCGACTAGTGCCAAACAGGCTGCCTAAGTATTGACCCCAATCAGAGACAACGAGCTACAGCTGCCTCTGATTGGGAACCACCCTGGCCAACATAGATCTACACGATCTAGAAAACACAACATAGAAAATATGACATAGAAACTCCACACCCTGGCTCAACATTTAAGAGTCCCCAGAGCCAGGGTGTGACAGTACCCCCCCCAAAGGGCGGACTGCGACCGCGCCACACAAACACAACAGGGTAGGGGCCGGGTGGGCATTCCGCCTCGGAGGTGGATCCGGCTCCGGGCGTGACCACCACTTTCTCTCCACCTCCTCGTTGCGCCCCTGATCTGGTCTGGCACCGCTGACTGGAGTTGGACCCGACGACAGTGGATCGATCTGTACAGACTCCGGACTGGAGCCACTGGCCGGAGCTGGACTGGGCACCGGTGGAGCGGATTGCTCTGGCTCCGGAGTGGATCCGCTGACAGGAGTTGGACCGGACCCTGGTGGAGCGGATTGCTCTGGCTCCGGAGTGGAGCAGCTGACCGGTGCCGGACAAGGCACCGGTGGAACAGGCACGGGCCGTGCCGGACTGGACACACGCACCACTGGCTTGGTGCGGGGAGCAGGAGCGGGCCGGACCGGGCTGACAACGCGCACCACTGGCTTGGTGCGGGGAGCAGGAGAGGGCCGGACCGGGCTGACAACGTGCACCACTGGCTTGGTGCGGGGAGCAGGAACGGGCCGCACCGGGCTGACGACGCGCACTACTGGCTTGGTGCGGGGAGCAGGAACGGGCCGCACCGGGCTGACGACGTGCACCACTGGCTTGGTGCGGGGAGCAGGAACGGGCCGGACTGGGCTGACGACGCGTACCACTGGCTTGGTGCGGGGAGCAGGAACGAGCCGGACCGGGCTGACGACGCGCACCACTGGCTTGGTGCGGGGAGCAGGAACGGGCCGGACCGGGCTGACGACGCGCACCACTGGCTTGGTGCGGGGAGCAGGAACAGGCCGGACCGGGCTGGCGACGCGCACCACTGGCTTGGTGCGAGGGGCAGGAACAGGCCGGACCGGGCTGGCGACGCGCACCACTGGCTTGGTGCGAGGGACAGGAACAGGCCGGGCTGGACTGGGAACACGCACCACTGGCTTTGTGCGGGGAGCAGGAACAGGCCGGGCTGGACTGGGAACACGCACCACTGGCTTGGTGCGGGGAGCCGGAACGGGCCGGGCCGGACTGGAGGTCTGGAGCGAAGAGCTGACACAACCCGTCCTGGCTGAATGCCAACTTCCACACAATATGTGTGAGGCATCAGCACAGGACGTACGGGGCTGTGCACTCGTACTGGCGCTACAGCACGTGGCACTGGCGCAGGATATACGGGACCGAGGAGGCGTAATGGAGACCACGAGCGTTGAGCCGGCACACCCCGTCCTGGCTGAATGCCCATCTTTGCACGACACATGCGTGGTGCTAGCACAGGACGTACAGGACTGTGCCGGAACACTCGCGGCACAGTACGTGGCTCCGCATAACATGGAGCCTGCCCAGTCACACGCTTCCTAGCCTGAGTACGGGGAGTTGACTCTGCTCTAACCCTAGGCTCCGCCAACCACCCTTTTAGCCCCCCCCAAAAAAAAATATTGGGGCTGTCTCTCGGGCTTCCTCCTCGGCCGGTACCCTCTGCGTTGCCGCTGCTCCTCTCTATAGCGCGCCTCCACAGTCTCCTCCCAAGGACGGCGATCCATTCTGGCCTGAATCTCCTCCCAAGTCCAGGATCCCTTCCCGTCCAGGATCTCCTCCCAGGTCCAGGCTGTCTGTTCCTGGACACGCTGCTTGGTCCTCTTTTGGTGGGATCTTCTGTCACGATCGTTTATGGAAGATACGGACCAAGGCGCAGCGTGATAAGCGTACATTTTATTAAGTACTTAACTCCTGACAAAACAACAAACAAACGAAACGTGAAGTCCTAGGTTACACAACACAAACCTTAACGGAACAAGATCCCACACCGACTAGTGCCAAACAGGCTGCCTAAGTATGGTTCCCAATCAGAGACAACGAGCTACAGCTGCCTCTGATTGGGAACCACCCTGGCCAACATAGATCTACACGATCTAGAAAACACAACATAGAAAATATGACATAGAAACTCCACACCCTGGCTCAACATTTAAGAGTCCCCAGAGCCAGGGCGTGACAAGAGCAGCAGTAAAATAACAATAGCGAGGCTGTATGCAGTGGGGAGTGAAATCCTCACGTCAGTTAAATGATGGATGGCAGGACGCTTGGCCCCAGTGATGTACTGGGCCGTACGCACTACCCTTGGTAGTGCCTTGCAGTTGGGGGCCGAGCAGTTGCCATACCAGGCAGTGATACAACCAGTCAGGATGCTCTCGATGGTGCAGCTGTAGAACCTTTTGAGGATCTGAGGACCCTTGCCAAATATTTTCCGTCTCCTTAGGGGGAATAGGTTTTGTCGTGCCCACTTCATGACTGTCCTGGTGTGCTTGGACCATGTTAGTTGGTTGGTGATGTGGACACCAAGGAACTTTAAGCTCTCAACCTGCTCCACCACAACCCCGTCGATGAGAATGGGGGCGTGCTCGGTCCTCTTATTTTCCTGTAGTCCACACTCATCTCCTTTGTATTGATCACGTTGAGGGAGAGGTTGTTGTCCTTGCACCACACGGCCAGGTCTCTGACCTCCTCCCTATAGGCTGTCTGGTCATTGTCAGTGATCAGGCCTACCACTGTTGTGTCATCGGCAAACTTAATGATGGTGTTGGAGTCGTGCCTGGCCATGCAGTCATGAGTGAACAGGGAATACAGGAGGGGACTGAGCACACACCCCTAAGGCGCCACTGTGTTGACGATCAGCGTGGTGGATGTGTTGTTACCTACCCTTACCACCTGGGGGTGGCCCGTCAGGAAGTCCAGGATCCAGTTGCAGAGGGAGGTGTTTAGTCCCAGGGTCCTTAGCTTAGTGATGAGCTTTGAGGGCACTATGGTGTTAAACGCTGAGCTGTAGTCAATGAATAGCATTCTCACGTAGGTGTTCCTTTTGTCCAGGTGTGAAAGGGCAGTGTGGAGCGCAATAGAGATTGCATCATCTGTCGATCTGTTGGGGCGGCATGCAAATTGGGGTGGGTCTAGGGTTTCTAGGATAATGGTGTTGATGTGAGCCATGACCAGCCTTTCAAAGCACTTCATGGCTACAGACGTGAGTGCTACAGGTCGGTAGTCATTTAGGCAGGTTACTTTAGTGTTCTTGGGCACAGGGACTATGGTGGTCCTGCTTGAAACATGTTGGTATTACAGACTCAGACAGGGAGAGGTTGAAGATGTCAGTGAAGACACTTGCCAGTTGGTCAGTGCATGCTCTGAGTACACGTCCTGTTAATCCGTCTGGCCCTGGGTCTTGTGGATGTTGACCTGTTTAAAGGTCTTACCCACATCGGCTACGGAGAGCGTGATCACACAGTCGTCCGGAACAGCTGATGCTCTAATACGTGTTTCTGTGTTACTTGCCTCGAAGCGAGCATAGAAGTAATTTAGCTCATCTGGTAGGCTCGTATCACTGGGCAGCTCGCGGCTGTGCTTCCCTTTGTAGTCTGTAATAGTTTGCAAAGCC